CTAAATCAAAATTCAAACTAATTTAAGGTGTTTGGGTTTAGATATTTTTTTGTTCGGACAAAAATTGAACCAATATAATAAAACTCTGTGTTAATTGATTAAAATATCGGATGTCTCTAATTTTACCCGCGAATCCGTTCACTCAAATCAATAATAATCAATTTGTATAAATTATATTAAACTTTAAAAAGAAAAAAATAAAACACCATTTGTGATATTTTAAAGACCCAGAAAAATTAAAAATTGTTATAAAAAATTTATTGACGTAAGTTATATATTTTTTAAAAATATTTTTGCATATTTAAAAAGTATATTTGATCAATCCAATACAAATTAGTCTATTATTTGTTAGTTTGGATTTTATCTCAAAAATATACAAAATTAATACAAATAAATTCATATATTTTTGATGGATTAGAACATTAAATTCTCTCAAAATCGAATCAAACCAACCCGCGAACAACACCTCTATTTGTCTTATCCATTTAATATCATTTTTATTCATATTTTAATACAAAGTTTTTATTATGTTAAATTGCAATTTTAGTCTCTATTTTTATCATAATTTTGATCAATTTGTTTTTAAAATAATAAATATTTATTCTATAAATGAATTTGGCCTTCCATTTCTGATGATGCGGAATTACTATTAAACATACGTGGAAGTGTTATCATCTTCTATTGTTTTTTTTTTATTAAAATAAATATATTTTTAAGTTCACCACATCAACTCCAATACACTCCCTTGCGCTCAATGGTATCCATTTAATATCATTTTTATTCATATTTTAATACAAAGTTTTTATTATGTTAAATTGCAATTTTAGTCTCTATTTTTATCATAATTTTGATCAATTTGTTTTTAAAATAATAAATATTTATTCTATAAATGAATTTGGCCTTCCATTTCTGATGATGCGGAGTTACTATTAAACATACGTGGAAGTGTTATCATCTTCTATTGTTTGTTTATTATTAAAATAAATATATTTTTAAGTTCACCACATCAACTCCAATACACTCCCTTGCGCCCAATGGTATCCATTTAATATCATTTTTATTCATATTTTAATACAAAGTTTTTATTATGTTAAATTGCAATTTTAGTCTCTATTTTTATCATAATTTTGATCAATTTGTTTTTAAAATAATAAATATTTATTCTATAAATGAATTTGGCCTTCCATTTCTGATGATGCGGAATTACTATTAAACATACGTGGAAGTGTTATCATCTTCTATTGTTTTTTTTTATTAAAATAAATATATTTTTAAGTTCACCACATCAACTCCAATACACTCCCTTGCGCTCAATGGTATCCATTTAATATCATTTTTATTCATATTTTAATACAAAGTTTTTATTATGTTAAATTGCAATTTTAGTCTCTATTTTTATCATAATTTTGATCAATTTGTTTTTAAAATAATAAATATTTATTCTATAAATGAATTTGGCCTTCCATTTCTGATGATGCGGAATTACTATTAAACATGGAAGTGTTATCATCTTCTATTGTTTTTTTATTATTAAAATAAATATATTTTTAAGTTCACATCAACTCCAATACACTCCCTTGCGCCGATAGGCTCGTGATATCATGATAGAATTAGAGTTTGGCCTCTATAAAACCAGTTGGTAAGGCGGATGGTGTCACTCTATATAAATCCTTTGTAGATTGTATCTTTAACCAATGTGGGACATGAGTTTTTCCTAATAGACTGCGTACTACCATGTTTTCTTGCTTAATCGCTTCATCCTTACATATGTTTCGTACTTATGGGACTGTGCCACAGTATACCCGTAACGAGCCAAATCCACTTGGCATAAGCTTACTTAACCCCTTTAAGGTTAGAACCCGCTAATCTTCTAAAAAGTATTAAAAAAAAAAACATGGACGAGCTTAAGCCCAATGTTGAGCGAGTTCAAACCCAACATGGATGAGCTTAAGCCTAACATGGGGCATGCCGCATGCCCAAGCCTAACATGGTCAAGGCTCAAACCTAATACGGGTGAGCTTCCCGCATACCCAATTATGTATTATTATTAGCAATAATATGTTGAGACATGTTCTAGAGAAGTTGGTGGGATTTCTCAGGCATTGCCATGATCCTTAAAATTTAAGGACCGGCTCATTCCACTTTTTCTATTAATAGGTCAAACTTAATAAATATAAGCGATCAAAAAATATGTTCCTGTTAAGAAAGCCAGGGCTATAAATAAAGGATCCATAGTTGAGAAAATAGGAAAGGATTCACATATCAGTAAATAAAAGGCCTTTGCCTGATATATTGTTGGAAGGATAGTCTATACACATACATAATTGATTTTAAGTAAAATAATGTGAGAAAAATATTTGTTTCAATTTAAATTAGAAAGACTAGTATCATAAATAAGATAAAATCGAAAAAACAAATTACATTTTATCCTATCCTAAAATAGTTCAATTCATGACATTCTATTTAAACACATAAGTTAATCAAATAATTAGTTCTTAATAACAACTTACTACAATCTATATTTATAATATAATAAGTCATACATTAGCAATTATGTCAATTTATAACTAATTATTTAAATAATTAATTTAATATTATTTTACTTGAGTGACATTTATTAATTATTAAAAATACGTGAGTTATCAAAGTCACAATATTAATCATCTGAAATAAAAGTAAATTTTATTAATGTATAAATTATATTCGATAGAAAAAGTATATTACAAATGTCAAATATTTTCATTTAGCAATATGCTTTCAAGATGCTAATTGATCTACTTTCATTTTTACAAATTGAGAAAGTAATTAAAAATTCTAAAATTGGGTTTGGCATAACCGATCATGGCACAACCGGTAGTAATCCTATGGCTTTGCCTCGATTCAAATGTTCCAAAACTTAACAGGGAGTCCTCCACAACCAAACTACCAATTGTAATGAAAAAAAATCCTTTGCCCATGTGGTCAATAACATCTGTGATATCCTGATTAGTCAACTTCCTCAATCTATTGTAAAATAGGATAGAATTTCAATAACAATTTTTGAGAAGGAATATTTGGCAGGGCTTGCCTATTGTAAACATAATCTTCATGGAAGAATCACTTGGCCAAAAGGATTGGTGCCCTTGAAGGTGGATGTCTTGAAGTAGAAGCCGTCTTCAATCTGGAATTCTTTGGGAAAGTGGGGACTCATATCTCTCGGGAAGGACTTTTATGAATTCCCATTCTCTAATATTGAAGATCTTTGAAGAATAAGATCTACTAACTCTTGGAATTTAAACCCTAGTCTCTTAAAATTGTTTGCATGGACAAAGGACTTTAGTCTCAATGATCAACACCAATCATCAGCATAGGTATGAATCAAAATCTGTAGACTTTCACATGAATATTGGAGGCCCAAATTTTTTTATGCAATTGATAGTGATATTGGTAGCCCCATTTGTATGCATGAAACCACCACCAAATCTATGTTTGATAGATCGTTTAGACACTTAGCTAGAATTCTAGTAGATTTGGACTTAATTGGAACTTTTAGGAATACGACTCTTGTTGAAAGGAAAAGTTTTACTTTCTTTGTGGAGGTAGCTTATGAAGACATTCTAGATTTCTGTGATCACTGTAAATTCATTGGTCACAATGTGAGAAACTGTAGAAAAAGTAGTAAGTACATGGACTTGGCCAAAGAAAATTCTATAACTCGAAGTAAAAAAAAGCTATGTGGAAAGCAAAAGCCTCTTGGAAAAGGGAATTGAATCTCAAGGCTTGGAGGGAGACTCATCCTCATGGAATAATACACCTAGTGTAGAGTTACCAAATGCAACAAAAGAAGTCTCAGTAGAAATAATACCTCCTTCCACAAACATCATTCATCAAAATAATGAGGTACAATCAGGGCACATACTGGTTATCCATGAGCCTCACAATGACAATCAAGAGGTTTTGCTTGAAATCTAAGAAACACCTGAACCATACTACCTTGAGAGGAATTAGGATAAAGAGGATGATGCTCTTAGCTCTAGTGGATCTGAATTTGTGGATGCCACTCAAATGGATAATGAACAAGAGGAAGACATAGAAAACAAGCTCACCGATAATGTGCAACATGACATGGAATTCCTCAAGTAATCTTGGGCCAATATGGCAGAGGAACCTGGCAATTTTGAGGAAATTGATAAAAAATTTCAACTGGTTGTTTCTAAGCAGGCTAAGAAGAAAAACAGGTAAGTGCAAAAGCTTAATAAAGTTGGTCCTAACACCAGAACAATGGTAGTTTCTTTTAACACTGCCCAATGAAGTGTCTTTACTGGAATTTCAAACGGTTTGCTAAACAACCTACAAAATTAGCTCTCAAAAAACTTATTAAAAAGCATAAATCAGAAAAGTTTCATAGTTGAACCTTGGATGTCTTTGGATAAGTTATCTTCAATTTTTTTCTAGACTAAATTTGAAGATCTTTGCTACAAACAATAGATCCGATCTTGCTTCAAACTTTTGGTGTTTATGTACCCCTAATTTATACCCTCAGATAATTTTAAATGAAGATTAACATGTGTCTTTTTCTCATTAAAGATGGAACCTACTATTTTGGCATGCCCTGCAATTTATGCTTTAACAAACTATACAAAAACTACACTTTACCTTATCTTATAATACTTCAATTCAACTCATGAGATTCTATTTAAACATATAAGTTAATTAAATAATTATTTCTTAATAACAACCGACTATAATCTACATTTATAATATAATAATTCATACATTAGCAATTATGTCAACTCATAACTAATTATTTAAATAATTTATTTAATATTATTTTACTTGAGCGATAATTATTAATTATTAAAAACACATAAGTTTAAAAACACATGAGTTCAAAAAAAATAATAATAAAAATAAAAAACTAAAAAAAATTATAAAAAAAAATTAAAAAAAAAATTAAAAAAAAATTAATAATAATAATAATAATAATATTGAACAAACAATAAAAATTGAATTCAAAAAAGATGAAGAAATTGGGACGGGGGCGGCCGCCAAAAAAATCGGTGCCTCCACCACCAAAATCTCCGGTGGTTTCTACTCCGGTAGCTCATTCGGACTCGCGAAGCCACAATGTCAGCAATAGATTCATTAATGCAGAAATTGCGGAAATCGAAAACCTTGGAGAAACCTCAGAAGCTCGGGATGAAGAAATTGTTGATGAGGTGAGTAAAGAAGTTGAACTGGAAAAACCTAATCAAGCTGAAATTCATGAGGAAGGGCGAAAACTATGGGTTGATGTGTTGAAGGATAACAGGAATCCGGCGAAAGGACGTGTAATGAAGTTCATAGCCCCCCAAGTCGTGGATGGAAAAATAGAGGTATTAATTGAAGAAGACGATGTCAGATCTGAAGTCAAGTTCTGTGAATCCTCTCTGATTCTATATGCAATGGGAGCGGACTTGAGTATGACTGCTGTAAAGAATTTTATGACCAGATCTTGGAACTTTGTTCAACTGCCGGACATGTATTTCAACGATGAAGGGTATTTTATTCTCTGGTTTAAATCGTTCAAAGATCGTGATGAAGTTTTGCTGAGAGGTCTGTATATGATAAGAAACATTCCTTTGTTGATTCGAGAATGGAGACCAGGGTTCAAGATCAAGGATGAACTCCTGCGAACCCTACCTATTTGGGTAAAACTTCCCCAACTCCCTATCGTATTGTGGGGTGATACAAGCCTGAATAAGATTGGGAGTTCCCTGGGTAATCCTATTATGACAGATGAGTGTACTGCAAATAGACTGCGAGTGTCCTATGCGCGTATTCTTGTTGAAATGGATATTACAAAGGAGCTTCCTCAAACAATCACCATTGCTGATCATGAAGGAGAAAAGATTCAACAAGCAATTGAGTATGAATGGAGACCTCTATTCTGCAACAAATGTCAAAAGGTAGGTCATAGCTGCGAAAAGCCTAAGGTGAGGAAACAGTGGATACCAAAGCATGTGAAACAACCTGAAACTAATGTGGAATCAAAAAAGGTAGAGGCAGATCATAAAGGGCCTAATGAAGTGGGAAATGTTAATAAGGTTATAGCTCAGGCCAGGAAGAACAATGTAAGCACTTCTGCTGAGACTCTTTCTCCTGTGGTTGAAAATATCAGAAACAAGGATGTGGTAGCAGGTGTGGAAAAATGGACTGAGGTTATCAAAAGTGGTAAAGATAGAGGAAAAAAGCCAATTAATGATAGCTCTGTAGGTTCGGTTTCATGTGATAATGGGTTTGATGCTCTAGAGATTTTGAAGGATCTCATAGAGTCTCAAAACACTGGTCAATGATTATTTCTTGGAATCTCAGGGGGATGAATAAAATGGGGAAGTTAAGGGAGACTAGCTCCCGTCTCCTTAACCTTCATCCTAATATTGCAATTCTGTTAGAAACTAGAGTAAAGTGTGATAAAGCCAAGAAAGTGAGAGACTGTCTTAATCTCAGAGGTAAGTATCTTGATAACTACCAAGCTCATTATAATGGCAGGATCTGGAATTTTTGGGATGACAGTTATAAGGACATCAGATTGGTGAGGTGTACACCTCAACTGATACACTGTGGGGTCTATGATGTTAATGGAAATTTCCAAATTTGGATGACAGCCATTTATGCTATGAATCAGCTGGACCAAAGAAGGGAATTATGGAAGGACTTGGAACACATTCATAATAGCCAACAAGGGCCTTGGTTCCTTATGGGTGATTTTAACAATGTGACAAAGTCCATGGATAGGATTGGGGGTAATTTGGTGACTGAGAGAGAATATGTTGATCTCAGGAACTTGATGGATCATGCTGGGCTTTTTGAGAAGGATAACACAGGGGATTATTTTACTTGGACAAATAAACATTCTGTAGGTACTATCTATTCCAAAATTGATCATGTGCTTGGTAACATTGACTGGCTGCAGAATAATACTGATGTGAAACTAGAGATTCTCCCTCCTAGTATATCTGATCATTGCTTACTTTGTTTGTCTGACCAGAAAAACAATAGAATTGTACACACCAATTTCAAGTTTACTAATAGTGTGATTAAGGTGGCTGGTTATCAGGACATTGTTAGGCAGAGTTGGAATAAATCTTATGTTGGTAGACCTATGGTTCGACTTTGGTACAAACTTCTGAGGTTGCAAGCTCCTCTTATCAAATTGAGCAAACAATTCTCTCATCTTCATATGTCCATTGTTCAAGCTAGGACTGAGTTACTCAAAGCACAGGAAGAGCTAACTGTGGATAGAATGAATAGAGGGAATATTGAGAAGGTGAAAAAGTATACTGATGAAGTGATCTACCTGCAGGATCTTAATGTTAAAATGTTAAGACAGAGAACTAAACTGGATTGGCTTAGAGAAGGTGATACAAACTCAGCTTTCTTTTATGCCTACCTCAATTCTAGAAATGTAGCTACCCACCTCAGTCAACTTCAAAAGGAGGATGGTACTTATATACAGAATACTCCTGATATAGAAAAGGAGGTTTGTGACTTCTATGGTAAGCTGTATGGGACTCGAGCACACAGTGTGAGCATGATTGATATTAATGCTATGAGGGAGGGACCCCAGTTAACTATGATGCAGAGAGCTGACCTAATTACCCCTGTAACTGTTGCTGAAATAAAAAATGCTATTAAAGGGATTGGGGACCTAAAGAGCCCTGGTATTGATGGGTATGGTGGTAAATTTTTCAAGGCAAGTTGGAACATCATTGAACAGGATGTTGTAGAAGTTGTCCAAGAATTCTTTGAGCATAATGTGCTGTACAAAAGGTTTAATGAGACCATTGTCACCTTGATCCCTAAACATCCTGCTGCTAAAATGATAAAAGAGTATAGGCCTATTGCAGGGTGTACTACTGTCTATAAAATCATTTCCAAGATCCTCACTACAAGACTTGGAAGAGTATTGGGATCTATTATCAGTAAAGCCCAGGCAGCTTTTGTGCCAGGACAGAAAATTCATTCTCATATCTTATTGGCCATGGAACTTTTAAAAGGGTATAATAGGAGAAATGGTACTCCAAGATGCATGGTTCAACTTGATCTACAAAAGGCATATGACATGGTTTATTGGGGTGCTCTTGGCAATATTCTCAATGAGATAGGTCTGCCAAAGAGGTTTGTCGATTGGATCATGACTACTGTTACCACAGTCTCCTATAGATTCAACATTAATGGTACTTACACTGATAAGATAGAGGCTAGAAGGGGTATTAGACAAGGGGATCCATTGTCCCCCCTTCTGTTTGTGATAACTATGGAGTACCTTAGTAGGCTGCTATTCAGAATGCAAAAAAACCCGGATTTCAATCATCATACCAGATGTGAAAGGATGCAGCTCACTCACCTAACATTTGCTGATGATCTTCTGTTGTTCTCAAGAGGTGATCAAGGCTCCATGGAGATTCTGCAGCGCACTATCAAAAGCTTTTTGGATTCAACAGGTATGAAAATTAATCCTTCAAAAAGTAAGGTGTATTTTGGTAGTGTTTCAGATCCTGTAAAGAACTTAATTCTGCAGTTGACTTCTTATAAGGAGGGGACCTTCCCCTTTAGATATCTTGGAGTCCCAGTGACTAGTAAGAAGTTGTCTGTTGTTCATTATATGCCGTTGGTGGATAAATTAGTGAGTAGGATAACTCATTGGAGTTCTAGGCTTCTTAGTTATGCTGGAAGACTACAGTTGATTAAAAGTGTGATGTATGTTATTACTTCTTACTGGATGCAGTGTATATGGTTCCCTAAAGCTGTGATTAGCAAAATCAATGCCATTTGTAGATCGTTTCTCTGGACAGGTGGTAGCACTATCAGTAGGAAGAGTCCAATTTCCTGGGAAAAGGTGTGCAAACCTACTGTTAAAGGGGGTATGAATGTGTTAGATTTAGAGGTTTGGAATAGCATGTTTATGATGAAATTACTCTGGAACATTTGCATGAAAACTGGTGATTTATGGGTTCAGTGGATACACGCCTATTACTTGAAAAATGAGGATGTGCTGCATAGAGTGGTCAAGGGATCAGACTCAACTAATTTTAAAACTATTCTTCTGCAGAGGGATAACATAGGGAACATGCAGATTGTTTGGGATGAGATGGTGCAATCAGGGAGATTCAATGGTAGGAAAGTGTATGTGAACTTGTTGCCTGTCACACCAAATGTTGTTTGGGCCAAGTTAATTCTCCATAATAGAGCAAGACCTCGTGCAATCTATACATTATGGATGATTTGTCATGGGAAGTTAGCCACAAAAGCCAGACTGTATCGGTTTGGAATGGTGAATAATAATCAATGTGTCTTTTGTTCTGAGGTGGAAACCATTGACCACCTATTTTTTGAGTGTTCTATTTTGAGGAAGGCCTGGGTTGAAACGCTTCATTGGATTGGTATCCAACACACTCCTGGAAGTTGGAATGAGGAGAAAAATTGGATTATGAATTATTATGGAGGTAAAGGTTGGAAATCTGACCTTGTTAGATTAGCTCTGACAGAAACTTTGCATGAGCTGTGGCACTTTAGAAATGACTCTTGTTTCAATCAAAGAGATGACAATAGGAATTGTACAGATAGAATCATTAACAACATAGTCTATAGAGGGTGGTCGAGTCCTAAGCTTAGACCACACATAGCTTTTTTGATGGTACAGTAAGTTTAGTTTTTGTTTCTTTGGTGTGGGCTGGATCTTTGATCGCCTTGTCGTGTATTGGCTTTGGATTAATGAAATTATTTTGATTCAAAAAAAAAGATTATAACATTAATCAAAGTCAAAATATTAATCAACTAAAATAAAAGTAAATTTTATCAATGTATAAATTATATTCAATAGAAAAAGTAAATTACAAATGTCAAATACTTTCATTTAGGAATATGCTTTCAAGATGCTAATTTATGTAGTAATTTGCAATTGAAAATCATGAATTTAATAAAAAAAATCCTAGTCAAATATTTGCACTGAAATATAAGAATGTTAATTTGAATATCATATTATTTTTCTCTATTGTAAAAATATAAAAGAAATGTAAAAAATGAGTAATAAAGTTAAAAGAAATATTAGAGGTAGGTTAATTCTAGAACAAATAATAAATGATGGATTTAAATAAATAAAAAACATATAGTACCTTTTAAGAATATTCCATTTTGAAAAATGTTTATTTTTACGAGGTTGTAATTAATGAAGAAATGTAAGAATGACTATGAATGGTTGATTCTCTTATCAATCTGTGCAAGATTTAAGTCAAGACACAGATTACAATTTTAATTTCTTTAAAAAATGCTCATCCATTTAATGATGTAATTTGAATTTTTGTTTTATAAATATGGAATGGGAAAGAAAATGCAATGGATGAATTCCGCATATATATTTTCAAAAGATGCAAGACATGGTCACACGAGTGTCTGTCTGTCCGTTTTTTTAATGCAAATAAATAAATAATATTTTTTGTTTAAATAATTTTTTTTAAAATACAATATATAAAAAGTTAATAATAAATTACATGAAAGTTAATAATAATAAGTTGTTAAATAAATCATATAATAAAGTAAGAGTAAAAATGGTAGAAAAATAAATCAGACTAAAACAAAGTATTTCCTTTATATATTGTATAGATGGCGTCCAGACGGGCATTCACGTGTCCGTCTGTCCGCTTTTTTTAATGCGAATGAATGAAAATATAAACGATATTTTTTATTTAAATAAAACTTTTTAAAAATACAGTATGAAGAAGTTAATAATAAGAAGTTGTTAAATAAATTACATAATAAAATAAGGGTAAAAATAGTAGAAAAATAAACCACACCAAAACAAAGTATTTCCTTTATATATTGTACCAGCGTTCAGGCGGGCACTCTCGTGCCCGTCTGTCCGCTTTTTTAATGCGCACAGCATAGAAAAATAAACGTGTATATTTTGTATGAAGTTTTTATCATATTTAAGATTAATTAATGCATTTGTTTTTAGATATTGTCAAGCAGTCTTAAAATCAGGATGATAAATGTATATATACTAAAAATACTTTAGTGAATTAACTATATATTAATGCTACTATTATTTTAAACATACTGAATTAATCCTCCACAACACCTTGTAGCACCAACCCGAGACCACCATAACTATGAAATTCAATAAGAAAGAATATAAGCTACATTATTTGGCACAAAAATGTTTATGAACATACCTTGAGGACGACATGATGCACCATCATTTATGGCTTCCATGTTAACATCTGATATTACTGCATCCTCCAAAGCTTCATCAACCTCTATATCGCCTGATACAAAAATAATAATTAACATATAT